GTGTGCGCAGAGCCGGGCCTCCGCACTACAATCCCCACAATGCCTGGCCGCGGAGCGGAAGCGGCTTGACCTTGCCGCGAGCCGACAGCGCCTCTCCCGAGGATGCTTCGGAAGAAGCGGAGGCTGGAGGAGAGCGCGGTAAAGCCCCCTTCGAGGCAACCTCAACCCCTGGTGGCTCCGTGGAAAAGAGACGAGAGAGAGAGAGAGAGACGGGAAAAGACCCGCGCGGTGTTTACAGCGGCAGATTATTTTTGTGCCTCTTCTGTCCTTAAAAGAAAAGGAGAATAAGAGTCCCTCGACGTGAAGGTAAAAATAGGCACTGAATAGGAAAACTTTTATTTATGACATCTGGCGTTTTCTTCAGAGCCTTTACATTTTGAGCCCCCCCCCCCCAATTGTTGGAACGTGTGGAGCAAATCTGCTTAAAATAAACTTTTGCAAATGAGGAGCTCCAGTACGGGCCGCCACCACCTTGGTAAGCAAAGTAGGATTGAATGGGAATGCATAATCCTTTGGAAGATCTGAAGTATATAAAGGTAGTTTCCTTTAGGGGAACTGTCATTTTTGTTTAAACAGGAAGAAATCGAGGACTTATTCTCATATCCCACTAATGATGCATGAAGATGCCACGCCTACCATTTTAAAGGAAATATCCTTATGGTATCACTTTCATCCCATAACCAGCCCACCAAAAAGGGAACCTAAATGTGCCTCTAGTTGTTCCAGTGTTAAAGTAGCGATTTCCTCCTTCTGATACAAGCCTTGCCATACGAACAACCTGTGGCATCTCATTAATGATGTGGGTGATGACAAGGTCAGGGATGGGATCTGCCCAACTCCTATTGGCCACTTGAGGCTCCTCCCCTCCCATCTCTGGCATGGCCCTCCATGGCCGTTTTGCCCTGGGCCATCCAGCTTCTGCAAAGGCTTTAGCCTAAGTAATGCCTGACCAGCACTTTGCCAAGTGTTGTTCAGGAATTGCAGGCTCTTTATGTACATGGGCATAGCATTCCTCTGGAAGGGTGCTAGACCACTTTTTAAAAATATGTGTTTAGAAGTGGTTTGAAAGAGCACTAGATCTGTCTTTTGAAAAAACAAGTATTGTTTTCTGGAAAGACTGGCAGCCCTATACTGCACAGAAGGTCAATTTAAACAAGGAAAAAAACCTGAGTTCTGCTAGCTGGGTGCTATTGATTTTATCCCAATTTATAGATTTTCAGCTGCTTTGGTGGACAAGGAATATTTTCATTACTTTTGTGGGGAGCAGTGGCATCATGTCGTATACCACATGAGCTACTTCTGAGTGCTACCAGCCATAGCTCTTCACTGCCAACACTGCCATTCCCCTGCAGCATTCATCAATTTGGGATACATGAGAGCTAACAAGAGTTCTTCACAAGAGATCTGCCTGTTCGCCCCCCCCGCCCCCGTTCGGCCAACGTGACCAAGTCA